TCTTAAAATTATTTGCACCTTAATTAAATGAAACAGCCAGTAAATTAAAAGTCTGAGCAAAAAGTATAAAACAATCGGTTTTTTTTCCCAAATTTTCAAAGCAATTCTTTACTTATTAAAGTTGCTTGTTTGCCAGTAGGTAAATAACTATTTTGACTTAGATGTGAAAAATCTATAGCTAAAAATGGCATAAACCACAAAGTCATCAAATTCAATTAAATATTAAATCCACAAAAACCTAGATTTTAAACATTATCAGTTTTCTTATGGTGTTAAATGTCATCAGTCAAGGTAGATATTATTGTGCATCACAAACATCATCATACATTCTGTGACCGAAATATCAAATGCTGAATACTTAAACCCCACAGGTCATATCATTTGTACTTAGTCCCCACAAATTGCATAATATATACTAAGACCCCACAAACAATAACTCAACAAAGCTCATCATATATATATATACTAATACCCCACAAACACACTACAAAGTACAACATATACATTAAGACCCAACAAACCAGATCCTCTCTACTAAGACCCCACAAATCACATCATCAATATATATTTACATATGAATAGTTAGAGTTTCTATTAATCTGCAGGATGAATTATCTGACTCTTGGTAAGAAATGCATTTTGAAGCAATTTATGATAACTAAACATAGAACTTAATAACATACCACTAAAATGTCATGTAAAATATTTTTTTACTTTCCAAATGCAAAGTTGACAATATATAAGACATGTAACTGTCAAAATATATAGCATATCCATTGTCATACGTGTGAATGCAACATCTGACTCTTTCTTCTCGACTTAAAAAATCATATACTTTGTTTACATGACTCCTTTTTAATAAGAAAATTGCAAATCCACTAGACATGCACAAATGTTCGGCCATTTTTAACTACCATGTGACTCCAACTTCCTGTATACAAAGACCCCACATCAATTTATAGACAAGAGGGCCATAATGGCCCTTTATCGCTCACCTGAATACAACTGCTTTTTAAAAAAAAAAATTGTGACCTAGTTTTTGACCCTAAGTGACCCATATTTGAACTTGACCTAGAAATCATATAAACAAACTTTCTGACCAATTTCCAGGATCTTTGGAATAAAACAGTAGCCCCTAGAGTATTAACAAGGTTTTTTTCCATATTTTGGCTGTGTGGCCTAGTTTTTGACCCCAGGTGACCCATATTTGAACTTGACTTAGAAATCATCTAAACTACCTTTCTAACCAGTGTCCAGGATATTTGGACTGAAACAGTAGCCCCTAGAGTATTTACAAGGTTTTTCTATAATTGGGCTTTTTTACCTAGATTTGACCCAAGATGACCAATAATCGAACTTGAGCACAACCTTTCTGACCAATTTCCAGGATATATGGACTAAAACAGTGGCCTCTAGTGTTAACAAGGTTTTTCCATATTTGGGCTGCGTGACCTAGTTTTTTACCCCAAGTGACCCATATTCGAACTTTATCTAGAAATCATAAACAACCTTTCTGACTAATTTCCAAGATATTTGCAGGGATATAAATTAACAGGGGTCTAGTTTCCAATGGCTCCAAACTTTTTCTGGAGGAAATGGCTGTATATTTAATGTAAAATATTCTTTTTAAGCAGTCTGGGCCCTAAGATTAAAATTGTTAGTATATATCCCTGTATTTGGACTGAAACAGTAGCCCCTAGAGTGTTAACAAGGTTTTTCTATATTTGGGCTGCTTGAACTAGTTTTGACCCAAGATGACAAATGTTCTGGACAAGAAAAAAGCAATGGAAAAGTAACAAAGGGCAGCAACTCAATAATTACTCTAGACAGAGTTATGGTTTTTGTGCACTGCACTTCCGCTTACTATGCTTTACCATTGTATGAAGTAGTTTTCAATTCCAACCAGTACTTTTCAAGTTATGCTCCGGACAAGGAAAACTAACAAAGGGCAACAACTCTGTAATTAGTGAAGATAGAGTTATGGTTCTTGTGCACTGCACTTCCTCTCAATGTGCTTGACCATTGTATGAAGTTGTATTGAATTTCAACTATTAGTCTTCAAGTTATGCTCCGGACAAGGAAAATGCAACGGACGTCTGGACCGACCGACCACCACCAGGTGACTCCTATATACCCCCCCCCCAAAAAAAACCCCGAAGTTTGGGGTATAATAAGTAGGAAAAAATTGTATAGTAAACAATGGTAAATTGAACGAGTGCGCAAACTTTTAAAGGCACATGTCAATGCAGTGAATGGACTTTGAAAATACATATGTACAGGGCTCGACATTAACGGTTGTCCAGGACAACTAAAAGTTTGGTCCGGGCAAGTTATTTTGAAAAGCATCATTGACAAAATGCATGTACAAAATAAATAGAAAAAACATCTTTTCATTTATAAACATCTGTAAAACAAAAATACACCATGAATCATTATCAATAATGTGAATATACTACGGTCATGTACATTTGTTGATATAGGAAATGGAAGCAAAAATATGAGCATGCGCCGCGGTAAGGTATTTCCACTTTTTAAAAATAGACTACATGTATATTTAATTTTGTACAAGGTAATTCCCGGGTCATGCTGTCGTTTAAATTTTGATGCGTGCATGAAAAGATATCATTGGAAATATGTAAATAATAGTATTGATCTTTAAAAATAATTGTTAAATAAATTTTTTGCATTTAAAATGACTTATTGTTTTATCTAATATAATAACTGTTCAACAACAATATAATTCTTCGTAATTAGCCTGGATGATGATTGATGAACTGATGTTTTAGAAAAACTACTGAATACAAAAAATATTTGTGTCTATCTAAAAATCAATTTCATAAACAGTATGTCCAGTTTATTGCCTTATGTTAACATTACCTAATACAAGAAGTATTAATGTTTGTTTGTCTTCTGATTTATACATTTTTACCATTTTTATGCCAGAATAAGTAAGTCTTAGGTCAGGGCAAGTAGTTTTAAAAACTACTTGCCCGACAGGACAACCTGATTCAAAGTTAATGTCTAGGCCTGAATGTATATAAATGAGGACACAAACTTAAAGGGAGACACAGGCAAAATTTTCATTTCTTAGTTTTTAATTTTTCATTCATTATTCTGTAAATGCCCTCAAAATGAATACTTTAGACAGTCAAAGGAACAAAACTTTTCTCCATATAAAGAATAAAATGGTGGTTTCCTAACTTGACCCGCGTGGGTCAGGTTAGAGCGCTAGCATTTCACAATAGTTGTCAAAGTGAACTCTGGGAAACTCTGGAAACGTTAAAGAACATGTCAAATGAATGACTTAGGCTTGTTTCAATCATATAATATCCACAATATCTGTTATTGTAACTTCAGGGGTTTGTTCAAGTCACCTGACTTGTTTAAAAACTATTTGATGATTCTACTGGCGTCTAAATTTTGTACAACATATATAGATATATTTACGCTTCAAACCCAAAATATATAGAATTTAAACAAAAATTCAAGCTGAAACTTCCAGAAAAGTCATTTTAGCGTGATTTGAGTACATAAGATCATTTTAATATTTTTGTCATTATTTTGCCTGAATATCCCTTTAAATGTAAATTCAGTTGAAAAAGGGGTATTATTCCGTCAAAATGCTTGATACAGAGACCTTCTCCTGTGTACACATTTGGAGCATAATGGTAAACAAGTGTGCCAAGTTAAAAAGCCATATTTCAATGGACTTTGAGAATATTATTTAAAAAAACAAACTTAACATAGTATCTATTGGGGTGGCACACAAACTTAAAGGTAAATTCTTGGTCCAAAAATGGGCTTAACTTTTTCAAAATGCTTGATAGTTACCTCCTCCTGTGCACAGGTTCAGGACATGATGTTGAACAATTGTGCAAGGTTTCAAAGCCATATGTCATTAAACTTTGAAAATATTTGAGGTGGCACGCAATCTTAAACATAAGTGGTTAAGCAGACGTTCGGGTGACTAGCTCTACTTCTTTTATCGAACAGTCAAGTTAAAAATGTTTTTAAAAAATCTCACTGTATCTCTATCAGCACATAAAAATTGTTAATATGACCCAAAATCCATTGTCATGATTTACTTTGCATGTGTATCAAGTAATCAACCCTATCATTGTGCAATAAAAATAAGGTGTTCCAAAGGACAACAAAGAAAAAATGTCTTGAGAAAGAAGCTTTACACTGATTACTTAGTACTGTTTAGTTCCAGATGATTCTAGGAGCGCATAGCTCAATGGTCATTGCATAACACAAATTAAAATAAATTTCTATAAACTAACAAGGGGCGTCCGTGGCCGAGTGGATAAGGTCGTTGACTTCAAACCACTTGCCCCTCACCGCTGTGGGTTCGAATCTCGACAGGAAAATTTGGATTCTTTCATGTGAGGAAGCTATCCAGCTAGCTTACGAAATGTCGGTGGTTCTACTCAGGTGCCCAATCGTGCCTGAAATAATGCACGGAAGGGCACCTGAGGTCTTCCTCCAGCAGTAAAGCTGGAACGTCGCGATATGACCTATACTGTGTCGATGTGACGTAAAACCCAAAACAAAACAAACAAAAATAAACTAACAAAAAACAAAACCAGTCAGTTGGTCGCCATGAAAAATTGATAATATTTTGAAAAGGTCATTAGATTGTCTTCTTAGGAAAAACTAAAAGGATATCAGCAATAAAATGGTAGGAAAAAAAAACTTGCTAAGTCAAGTATCATTGGCTCATAATACTGCACTTGATTTAAGAATGAACTTAACTTGCACTTTGTTCCAATTCATCCAAATTCAATATCATGAAGCGTAACAAACAAAAAAGAAATTGACAAGGATAGTAATATAAATTGCTTGAAATATCTATTGTAGGCATAGGGGGAGATGAATCATAAGAACAGCTATAATATTTAAGATATCTTAATCACAGTAATGCTATTCAAGAAAATGGGTCAATATTCAATATCTTTTTAAAAAATCTGTTATTTTGTAACAACTTCCAAAATACTTACCACCACCCTCTACTTCTATAATTGAAAAAGTATCTGTAAACTGATGGTTTTTTGACTTCGCGTTCCTCCCCTTCTTCTTCTGTTAACAATTCACCAGGATATATCATCAAGAAGTCTCCTTTCCTTCTTGTAACCGTTGTTCTAACACCACGACCTATCAAGAAAAACGAAACTACCATACAAACAAGAAAGTCATGACTCACTTGAGATAAATGTTTTAATTAACTGAAATTCGCGGTCAAGTTCTACACATGGTTTAGTATAAGACCACCCATTACAATAATTTTTGTTTGTATTAGCCCTACAGACTCATCAAATTTGCCACTCCAAAAAGATTTTTTTTAAGCAAACTAAGTCAGCTTTTCGTTGAAAAGGAGTCAATGTCATTCCATCAGTAATCACTTGTCTCCGATTTGTTTATCATAATCAGTGCCCTACACCATTTGTGCCAGGTACCAATAATCCAATCATTTGGAATTATAACAGGGGATTTACAGAAGTTTAAAATTGGGGGAAAATTGCATGATTTTACAGAAATTCTTTTCGGGGAAGTAGCCTGTATTCGGTTACAGCTATAGAATAAAAAAGCACAAGCAGTCTTTGAGGTTGTTGCTGTCTCTTGCAGGAACTAACTATCTGTAAAACTGTGCTTTCATTGAATGTTACATGAAAGTATTTCTTGTACCATGTATCTTGATATGAGAAAAATTGAGTCTCTGTCTAATTTTATTATCAGGGAATTTTGTAATGGACCTACTTTTTCATTGTAAAAGTGTGTCAAATATTAATCTTTAGAATTAAAAGCACTTGGAACTGCATGAGATGCGAGTCTGATTTGAATTAAATTGACAATCAGAAAGTTTAAATTTTGATTCTTATTTTATATATCTATAGGTTAGTTATTTCATTAATAGGCTATTCAGTATAACAAGAGCTATCAGTGATCACATGTGTCGCCTCATGATGGCCAATTTCATGGGACAAGTTTTGTGACAGACAGACAGGCAGTGCACAACTAAGACTTGGTACTGATCATTCCTGTAAAGTTTGGATAAAATTACACCAGTAGTTATGAGGAGTAGTCCGGACAAGCTTTTGTGTATCTGGCAACACACAGAAAAAAACACCTTTTATCAAAGGGCCATAACTGGGCCAAAAATCATTCAACCGGAAAACCCATGCAATATGCGTAAGGACTTGAGCTACAGATCAATCCTGTAAATCTTCATTGAAATTGCATTAGTGGTATAAGAGAAGTAGTCCAAACAAACTTTAAAAATAAAAATTATTAAAGGGCCATAACTCTGACAAAAATCATTGAACCAGAAAATGCTGACAATATGCACAACTAGACTTGGTACTGATCATTCCTGAAAAGTTTGGATGAAATAGCACCAGTAGTTTATGAGGAGTAGTCCGGACAAGCTTTTGTGTATCTGGCAACACACAGAAAAAAACACCTTTTTATTAAAGGGCCATAACTCGGCAAAAAATCATTCAACCGGAAAACCTGTGCAATATGCGCAAGGACTTGAGCTACAGATCAATCCTGTAAATCTTCATTGAAATTGCATTAGTGGTATAAGAGAAGTAGTCCGGACAAACTTTAAAAATAACAAGAGGGCCATGGTGGCCCTGAGGTCGCTCACCTGTATACAGGCCTCCGGAGCAGGGCCAGTTTAAACCCCAGGGCTTTTATTTGAACAAACTTGGAAGACACCCATTAGAAGATGTTTCATGATGTTAAGTTTTTACTACACACATGAAAAACAATGAACTCTGCCCCCCCACCCCCCTTTGGCAGGGCCAATTTTAACCCAAGGGCTTTTATTTAAACAAACTTGGTAGACACCAACAAAAGATGTTTCCTGCTTAAAATCTAACCTCTAGCTCATTGGGTTTTTTAAAAGAAGATTTTTTAAGTTTTTACTATGCCAGTGATTTTTCTCACTTAATTGGGAAGAGGCCTTAGCCTCTTGATTTTGGGAAAAATTATCTCTAAAATTGCTGATTTGGGAAGTAAAAAAGCTGGTTTAAGTTCATATTTTTGGGAAAACTGCATGATTTTAAAGAAAATTTCAATTGGGAAGAGGCCTTTTTTCGGAGTCTGTTATATAAGTAGAAAAATCACTGTATGCATATATAGTTAAAAACAATGACACCTCTGGGGCATAGCCAGTTTTAACCCCAGGGCTTTTATTTGAACAAACTTTGTTGACACTTACTAGAAGATGTTTCATGCTTAATATCTAAACTCTAGCTATTTGAGTTTTTTCAGAGAAGATTTTTAAGTTTTTGTCATACATATATAAGGAAAATCAACGGCCAATTTTGACCCCAGGGCTTTTATTTGAACAAACATTGTACACACTCACTCGAAGATGTTTCATGCTTAATATCTAAACTCTAGCTATTGGTTTTTTTCAAAGAAGATTTTTTAAGTTTTTACTATATGCATATAGGGAAAATCAATGACCCCCTGGGGAGGGGCCATTTTTTACCCAAGGGCTTTTATTTGAACAAACTTGGTAGACATCCATTAGAAGATGTTTCATGCTAAATATCTTAGCTCTAGCTTTGTGGGTTCTTTAAAAGAAGATTTTTTAAGTTTTTACTATATGCATATAGGGAAATCAATGACCCACTGGGGCGGGGCCAATTTTGACCCCAGGGCTTTTATTTGAACAAACTTGGAAGACACTCACTAGAAGATGTTTCATGCTAAATATCTAAGCTCTAGCTCTTAGGGTTTTTTAAAAGAAGATATTTAAAAGTTTTTCTTTCGGTTGCCATGGCATCAGAGTTCTGCATGGAATTAAATTCTTTGAACAATTTCCAAAGGTGACCACCAAAGGAACATTCCTGTGAAGTTTGGATGAAATTGGCTTAGTGGTTTATGAGGAGATGTCATTTAAAGTAAAAGTTTACGGACGCCGGACGGACGGGGGACGGACAGACGCCGGACGGACGGGGGACGGACGGACCCGGACGAAAAGTGATCACAAAAGCTCACCCTGTCACTTTGTGACAGGTGAGCTAAAAATTATCAAAGAGCCATAACTCTGACAAAAATCATTGAACCGGAAAATGCTGACAATATGCGCAACTAAACCTGGTACTGATCATTCCTGTAAAGTTTGGATGAAATTGCACCAGTAGTTTATGAGGAGTAGTCTGGACAAGTTTTGTGACAGACGGACTGACGGACAGAGGACGGGGAAGTGATTCCTTTATTTGCCATTATAAAACATGTTTATTCAAAGCAATATACTTATGTAAGAGTAGAATATTCATATTTTTCACAAAAAGCATCTTTCCAAAAGCTTTACCTACTCATACCGCAGAACTGCCATCAGTTGGGTTAGCACAAACAAGAATTTTTTAAGATGGTAGCCTTAGAGTGAATTTATTGCAAGATAGCATAAGGGCGACCACACCACCCCACTTTTTGGCCCTAACCCTCTGCTGCCCTCCATAGCACAATTATAATTGTCGTATGGCCTTGTTACATATACTGATACCAACTTATTTCAATGTTATCACAAGTTTTGGCTATAATTTTACAAGGTCTGTATCCATAAAAAACACAATTTTCATCAAGGGTTGGGGGGAACAAAATGGTTTGCATAATCTACATACTGTCGCATTAAAAATATAGAATACTTTGACAGTTGTTGCAGAAATTGATTCAGTGTCCTATTTTAACTATTCCTTCTTATTATGCCAGGTAACTACAATTTTAATTACAGAGACTAAACAAACTGATGCACAAAATATACACATTGTAACCTATTCACAAGTTTAATCAAGCTAGCTTAAATAGTTCTCATACCAGTTTTGAGCAGACAGATAGGCAGACCGAATGAAAGAGTTCAAACCTACAGTTACCGAAGGTTTATACACTAACAAGCATCGGTTTAGCATTTTCAGTTTGTTTTGTCTGCAATATCAAACTGTCAAAAGGTATATATTGCAGGTATTTAAAATGCTACAAGTTTATATAACCAGCTACTTTGCAGCCTTCTACAAGAAGGCTAGTTTTGAAATAATTCACTGTCCAATAATAGAAGAATTCACAGAAAAAAAGGTCAGCCTCCAGTTAACCGTTATGAATTTATGTTGAAATAAATAAAAGCTTAAAAAAATTGAAAGGGCATATATACCTATGTAATATTATAGCAACTATTAGGATTTATAGCTTGACTGGAGACTTCGTCGAAAGCAAGTGTCAGATTATTAACAGCATAAATCAAAATTTAATACCTTTTGGTGGTATATGTTCAATCACAAAATCTTTGAGATCCTCTCCTGCTTCAATGCACTCTGCTGCCACATCCTCAGGTTTCTTTCTTCCAGGCCTCATTTTCTTTATACATAAAAGATTCTGGCTGTCTTTCTAAAATTTAGAGAATTAAGGTTGTTACATACAGGAAGTGTACATCCAAAACAGAAAATAGCTTTGATTGAACAAATTTGGGCAGTGTGACCTAGTTTTTGACCCCATATGACCCATATTCGAACTTGAATTGAAAATCAATTGAATAAACTTTCTGATCAATTTTCCGGACATTTGGAGTCTAACTATAGTCTCTAGAATGTTTACCAGATTTGTCTATTTTTAACTCCTGTGACCTAGTTTTCATTGGCGGTCACCTATAATCGAACTCATTCAAGACATTAACAAGACAGATAATCTGACACTATCTCATCCCTAACTAGTTAATGTCCAGAAACCATTTTTCTATTTTTAGTAACAGTGACCTTGACCTTACCCTAAAGGGGTCCAAATGCAATACCAACCCAAGTCTTCATATAAGGTTGCTTTATACCAAGTTTGATTACAATACCTCATTCCAAACTCTAGTTATGGTCCGGAAACCATGATGTAAACCAACCAACCAACTAACCAACCAACAAGCTGACTCCTATATACCCCCTAAACTTTGTTTGTGGGGGTACAAAATGCCGAAGTCTGAGTTTAACAGGGAAAATTATTCCCATGAAAATCAAACTTGACCTGTATCTTATGAAATACAATACACAGAAAGGCAAACATGAACAGACAGGGGTAACATTTAAAACTTATTGATGGGTACAGATTGGCAAACATTCAAACTTACATCTAAAAAACTTGATGGAAAATCTTTTTATCCTCTAAAAGCAACAAACAAATTATCATATCAGAATTATCTTCAAAAACAATAAGGTATTTTTGTATTTATAAGAAAAAGAAGCACTCCTTACATTTAGAGAGATATATCTAACATGTGCATATCTAAGGACAAATATGCTTGAATATTTACTAAGCATATCAACAATTTAAAAATGGCCAAACTGCCTGTTAAGAGAAAAGCCCCATAATTATAGATTTATACATATAATATATATATATATATATGCAGTCACATTCCTCCATTTACGGGGCATCGGTCTATTTCAGACCATACTTGTGGGGTTTATATTTAATGTGGGGCATACATAAGGCCTCGCAACTCTGGCATGTTTAAAACGATGTATGGGGGCGTAGGCTACTAGAGGTGTAATGATTCATCGATGCATGGCGATCTGCCTTGTCCTCGATGTATGCATCGTAATGAAATTACAAATTCCAATATATTGCGATGCAATACATATTTCACCTCCCGATGTATCGATACAGCGGGAAGTATCGCAATACACTAATAATATCTTCCAGGAATATAAGGACAAACGTATTTTTTGAAAGACTGAAGAAAGAAAAAATTAATAGCTCGGATGAAAACAATGAACAAGCGCGACTATTATCATATCATCGTTTTCATCTCGTTTCCCCATGTCCGCAATCATTTAACGGTAACTAACCAAGTTTTATCAATTCTATATAAATGGGCTGGTGTTGTTTGAACTTGTTTATAATAAAAAAAAAATAATAAGAGATCAATGCGTTTTCAACAAACACGAATTTGTAATTTTATTTAGTCGCACTTGATGTCCGATTAAAATAGTGATGATGACAACATTCCCATGTGATATTTGTCATGTATTTATACTTTCATTTCCGTTGACGTCATTTTCCCGTAAAAAAACAAAACAAAAAAACAGAAAACATGACTGTAGACTGCAAAATATTTAGGAGAAACTATAGTTAATCCTCCCTGGTCATACAATTCAGAATTTTGGGAACATTGTAGTTTTTGGGGAACCAACAGACAGTGTTGTATAATGTTGAAGACCGGACGTCGAGTGTTTGCAAAATTTGCAAACTCAAAATAAAATACTCTGGGGTTGAGCACAAATCTTTCGAGAAAAATGAGAGAGTAACTGATTAACTGTTATTTTCACAGTTGTTGACCTAACTGTAAAACACTTGTTACTATTTTTTCACAAGAAAATTTTTTAGTGGTGTATTGTAAGACTGAAATTTTTAAACTGTCATATTTACAGTAGAGGTCTTTAGTGTTAGACTAGTGGATATCAATTTGCTGTTATGGTATAATTAACAATACCTTTATTCCTTAAGTAATCAGAAAAGTAAATTGTTGAAAGATCAAAATCAGAAACCAAGTTAAAGAGTTTTATTTTTGTTATTGTAATAATTCTATATTATATTCGTAATTATGCTGTAAACAAATGGCCAAATTTTATGTACTAAGTCTGAAAGTCAGTATTGTGATACGTATCGCATCGCAACATAAGAATCGCAATATGCATCGCATTTTTTCAAAGTATGCAATACATATCGTGAATCGCATCGTTTAGAAAAACAAGTATCGTGATATGTATCGTTACAGAAAAAAAATGGCAATGCACAGCCCTATAGGCTACCCTTCTAAAATAGTGCCCGTAGACCAGTTTTAGTAGTTAATGGTATATGTCCCACAAATGTATATATTTTTAATGGGGTTTTATGTTATTGGTCAATATGTTTTCACCTATGGTAAAATCAAATATATAGTTGATATATATAACTTAGTACCCCTTAGTTCTGTTGTATGGAAATGTTCATTTTATGCCTACATAGTGGCATATATAAAAACTGACTGCATGAAATAATGCCACTCAACTCGGTCTTATATATAGGCCCCGTAAGTGAAGGTATGTGTGAATATATATATATATATTCACACATACCATCATTTACGGGGCCCATATATAAAACCGTCTTGAGTGGCATTATTTCATACAGTCAGTTTTAATATATGCCACTATAATGTAGGCATATAATGAACATTTCAAAACAACAGAACTAAGGGGTACTAAATTATATAATATCAACTATATATTTAATTTTACCATAGTGAAAACATTTTGACAAGAAACATAAAACCCCATTAAAAATATATACATTTGTGGTGCATATAGCATTAACTATTAAAACCGGCTTACGGGCATTATTTTAGAAGGGTAGCCTACACCCCTCTACATAATTTTAAACATGCTAGAATTGCGAGGTCTTATTATGCCCCACACTAAATATAAACCCCACAAGTATGGTTTTGAATAGGCCAATGCCCCGTTAATGGAGGAATGTAACTATATATATATATATATATATATATACTGCCAATATGCTGCTTTTAAACAGTTATAAATATGTAAGGATATGAAAATATGAAAATACAGATAGTATTTTATATACCCCAAAAAAATTTATATACATCTGTTTGAATTCAATCACTTGATGCCCACAGATAAAGGATAATTTTGTCGCCATTATAAGCAATCAGAATATCTTTATTAAAATGTTTGCACACCTCCAACCTAGCAAATAACTGCACCTCTAAAAACATATTCCTTTTCACATGTACATGTACACTAAAGAAACTTTACCTTTTACTGAAGATCATTATTCCATCTCAAAAATAAAGCATTCCATTTTATGTATACACGTAATACCAATAAACCAATAGCAACAAGAGTCAACAATATAAAACTTAAGATTGTAAGATGCACATTCTCAATTATTACTCCATATGACTCCATGTTGAATTTGAAATGGAGGTAAAACTACTTTCTGTTTGCTAACAAAGACCCAACAAATCATCATTGCACATATATATATATATATATATATATATATATATATATTTTTTTTTTTTTTTTTTCTTCTCATATTTCACCAGTAATGGGGCCCCTATATAAGACCACATTCTGGGAGCCTAAGTTTAAAGGTACTAATCTCCTAACTCTCTATTTTCAATAGAATTATTAATGTTGAATAACAAAGACAACCCCAGTATAAATCAAAAAATTATTATTGTAAACATGTTTCGACAATCAAGTCTTCGTCAGATATAAGCAATAAGAATATCTCTATTGAAATTTTTGTGCACGAACAACCTAGCAAATAACTGCACCTCTAAAAATTGAATTATTAAAATTAGGGATGGCAACGAATACCAAAACTAATACTCGAGTACTCGGTCATTTTTCCGATCGAGTACTCGGTTACTCGGATGATTTCCAGTGATCTTCAAAGTTGTATTACACAATATCAAATGTGCTAGTGGCATTGATTTGACCTAATAAGTGTTAAACCTTGTTATTCATGCAATAAAATGTACATATATTAACAAAATCAAAAAGAAAAAAATATATTATATTGTTATGGCATACCCATAACTTTCCTACTCGGATGTTGCATACCTTGTCTATAACAATATAACATATTTTTTTCTTTTTGATTTTTTTTAATATATATATATATTATTTCATATTCATAAATAACATGGTTAAACACATTTTAGGTCAAATCAATGCCATTAGTACCTTTACACAATATCAACATCGTCTGCATGCTACTTTCGTTTTCTATTTAAATTCATAGCAATTCAATTCGTAACTACAAATAGGACGACAAGGGAGTTAATTTATAATAGCTAATAAACAAATTAATTAAATTAAATCAACAACATTGCATTTTAGGTAATTAAGACGAAACAAGCGTCTAGTAATTTCTGTAAGCATTCAAAATGTCTCGTAACAGTAAGTACTAACTAGTCTACATTAAAAAAGCTATATGTATATCTTCTTACTGCTTAATAAGATATTCACAATCTTAAGTAAAAAAGTTCACAATTAGTTAAGAAACGATGCTTTTTTCACAATTCTTACGGTACCGGACCCATTCACAATTCAGGGGAAAAAATCGCTGTAATTTCTCACAAAAGTTGTAACATAGAATGCCCCTGTTATTCAACATAGATAAATATTGTACGTAACTCAGAATTAAAAGTTCCTTAAACAAAATATTCCCCTATTTTAATTGTACACATGCAGTGTCTATTCTAGGAATTCAAAAATAGGGATGATTCCCCCCCCCCTCTATTTCAAAAAAGGGGGCGATTTTCAAAATCAAGGGTTGCAATTATAAACTGCCAATGTTAAATCGTCTGTATTAAGTTTAAACTGAGGTGT